CTTGAGGAAAAAGCCCTCTTGCACAAGAATACTAGTGTAGATAGGGAAGAACTGTTTTGCACAAAAAAGCCCCGATGGCTAAAATGGCGATTGGGGCTTTCTTGCGCAAAATTGTGTCTAGACTGGCCACGGAAGCTTTTGCGCAAAATCTAGATGCGCTTTTGCGGAAATACTTTTAACGGAAAAACTTTTTCCCTTAAAAGTATTTCCGCAAAATCATGCCAGTCTAGATGCAGCCGCTGTGTATGGGAAATACATTTTGTTTTGGTCTTAAGTTGTGTAATGGCTCCTGACAACCTAATCACACAATGGCTTTCCCTTCACGTGGGTTTAGTACAGCGGCGGTATACGTTACACTGTCTGAGCGGGTCTAATCGTTGGCTGATGCTGGCCAGAGCTTTTTACTTTACGGTGACAAAAGAATGAAGGGATTCAGCTCCCAACTAACATGTTGTAAGTAGCTCCTTTGAAACGGAGTGGCTTGTTCTCTCCAGCCAGCTCTACTCCCAGGAGTGTTTGCAGGATTGGGTTGAAGCCTGTAAAATGTTCCCTCAATTTCCTGTGACAGTAGTGGCTGAAAATTCACAGTGGTTGCTCAGCGGCCAGGGCAGGGTCCAAATGGGTTTCGTCTGCTATCTGAGAGCTCCTTGCCTGGCTTTCTGTTTCCTGTCGTCTGTCAGGGTCCACCTAGAGCAGTCCAAGCCTAGCACCGGGCTCTGTCATGGCTCAGAGGTGGCCTGGAGAGATTGATTTGAAGCCCCCGGGGATCCCTGCCTCAGTGCCGCGTGGGTTAGGAAATGCTGCACCGTTCTCACACGGTCAGAAGCCAGAGCTGTTTCCACGGGAGACCCAGCCTCTCATTCTTCCTCTGTGAAAGGGAAATGGGAACGCGGCCCATGTGCCTCGCCCCCGGCCCGCTGCGAAAGCCCCATGCGGTGAATGAGAGCGAGCCAAGGACTGGCACTCGTCCTGCTGCCTAGAAAAAGACCCCGCTGTCTAATGGCAGCGTTGCTAGGAAGCTACCACCTCTCCTGGGATTCCTGGGACCTTGATTTCTATTCACTTCCAGAGTCATCTGGGTCTGGGAACGCGGCCCATGTGCCTCGCCCCCGGCCCGCTGCGAAAGCCCCATGCGGTGAATGAGAGCGAGCCAAGGACTGGCACTCGTCCTGCTGCCTAGAAAAAGACCCCGCTGTCTAATGGCAGCGTTGCTAGGAAGCTACCACCTCTCCTGGGATTCCTGGGACCTTGATTTCTATTCACTTCCAGAGTCATCTGGGTCACTCGCGCCACTGACCCCCTCGTGAGGCTGTGGTAGTTGCACTTGTGCAGTTGAGTGGGTGGCTTTCTTGCCACCAATGTGCCGGAATGGGGACACTATTTGAACGGGAGCGGCTTGTCCCGTCTCGAAGTCAAGCAGGCGGCACTGAGCCAGATTGCGCTATGCCAGTGTAAATTGGTCTGTGCCAGGCATCTGGATCAGTGGCTGAAATCCCCTTGTAGACGAGGCAGTCTGCAGATGGCTGCTGCCTCCTTGCCAGGGGCTTGTGGGAGCTTTGATCAGGAATCGGTCTCCCCAGAAGCACAGCTCCGTTCTAGGCAGGTCCCCAGGCTCTTAGGGTGCCACGGAAAGAGCCACGGCTGGCTCGGGCCAGCTGACCAGTGCTCTGCCGTGGGACAGGAGCTGTTGGGGCCGAAGCCCCACGAGGAGGGAAGATCTCTCATTCTGGGCTGAAATCAGCTGCCCCAGGCTTTGACACCCAGTGCGGGGGGGGAGGGGGCTATCACAGCGTGGCCACACCCCAGTGGCTGGTGGCGCTCGCTGGTCCGTTCTGGGAGCAGAGCTGCTGTGTTCTGCCCACCCTGTGCCCTGGCTCATGCGGCAGCTGTGGAAGGACACAGGCTCATCCTAGGAGCTGTGGAAGGAGGCAACTGCTCCCGGGGGCCCCTGTGCCTGGCTTCTGCAGCAGATGATGTGATTCAAAAGTACTCTCCTCTCCCGGAGGGAGGTAGCAAGTTCCTCCTTCCCTCCTCTTAGCCTGCGTTTCCCTCAGCCCTGCACTACGACCAGTGCCGCTCTTGGAAAGCGCATGGCCCCCTCCTGCCCCAACGTGCCTGGAAGGGGACACTGGGACGGGGCAGGCCTGAGAGCCAGGCGGCTAAGGAATCTCTGAGTGGATCACGTCAGCCCAGCGGCGGGGAAGGAGGATGGGAAAGGACATTTGAGGGGACTTTGTGTTGCAATCCACCTGAATTGGGGGTCTCCGTAACAACCAAGGGGGTCAAGACGTGCTCGTGTCAAGCAGCAGGGTCCGGAGCGTTCATCACCTTGAGGTTTGCCAGGGGGAGCTGGACAAACTGAACCATCTGTTCGCAAGAGCGAGCAGCTCGTGGGCTGTCCAGCTGGGGTCCTTGAGGCTTCCTGAACTTGGGAGGCTGCCAGACCAGAAGAGAACGATCGCGCCTCCAGGCAGGCAGCACGTCCCCACCCTGCCTCCCGCCACGGCAGTGCTGCGGGGGAAGGATTTATTCCGGATCCCAGATGGGGATCTGTACCAGGAGTGCTTTGCCACTTCAGCGACACCGGCACGCCGCTCCTCGTGTGGATGCAGCGTCCCCTGCCAATCGGCGCTCCCCTCAGGCCCCCATTCTCGCTGAGCCGAGATAGAGCAAGCTGCATGTGTCTTGCAGTCAGGGATAGCTCCCTGGCACCTCTCTGACTGCTCCAGCTAGGACGTCCAATCTTGGCAGTGTGGGTGTGAGCGTAGACGCACGAGGGGCAGACCCCCTTGCATTTTGCATTAGGGACGCGAAAGGTTAACTGGTTTACCAGTAAGCATCATCCTAACCGCGCGATGCTTACCGGTGCCGGTTAACTGGTAATCAGTGCAGGCTGGAGTAGCTCCCCACCTGTCTGTGGTGGGCCCTGGGCACCCAGCAGACACGGGCTGCTCTGGTGGGGGCAGAGAGCTGGCAGTAGCTCCAGCTCCCATGTGGGGGGCTGGGAGCTGGGAGCTGGTAGGGGGTGGGGTGAAAGCCAGGAACCAGCCCCAACTTGGGGCTTGGTTCCGCTCCATCTGGTCTGGAGCAGTCCCCGGCCCAGATCCTGCTTAGTTGGTTATCCGGTTAAATATTAGACCGACCTGACGTTTAACCAGTTCACGGCTTAACTAGGATGTTACGTTCCTAGATCGTATCCTCGCTGGCTTGAATGCAGATGCTGTTTTTGTTCTTTTAGACGACAGCTTGTTTTGTTTATTTTAATTCTTCCTCCACTTGAGCTGGCTGTTCCTGCGGCAGAGAGTTCAGTGTTTCATGCTGCATAAAAGCATTTCGATCGTTTCCTTTGTGTGACTTCACTGGGCGCCTTCTGGGACAGGTTTAATAAAAGCATTCGACTGCGCAGCTCCATGCCGCTTGCCATGTGCACAGGCGATGAGCAGAGGTCTGCTTTCTAGACTAAACAGTCCCCGGGCTAGATTTACAAAGGGAGTTTGGCACTTGAGGTTGAGATGGGTGCCCAGAGGGGTTTTAAAAAGCACCTCAGTGAGTTAGGGGCCTGACTCCCATGGACGTCGCAATCCCAGTGACTCCGATTGTGCACGTCGGGCTGTCCCTCCTGGCCAAAGCGGATTGCCCGTGGGGAGGGAAGAGCTCACATTCTGGGCCGGTCTAGGTGAGCGGTGCCCATGGATTCATAAAGCAGGACTGTAATATAATCTCAGTGGCTGGAGCAGTTATCTCAAGGAAACAGCCGAGCTAGGGAACAGGGCGTGGGAGAGGGAGTGTCGCTGGTCACCGTGAGTGCTTGGTTTCCAGTCAGGGCTGGACTAAGGGGTGGGCTAGCCGGGCAGCTGCCCAGGGCACCAACCTATGGGGGGCACCAGCTCCTGGCGGGCTACAGCAGCCTCCCGGGGCAGGGGCCGTGTTAACCCCCGCAGCACCGGCCAGCAGCGCCCTTCCCCCCACGGCTGCAGAGCCCTGCATGGCCAGGAACAGCCCGCCCCAGGCTGCACGCCATCGGCGGTGGCTGGGGCGCCTGGGCAGCGCATGCCCCCTGTGTCTGCCTGTGCGCTCCGGGGCCGGGCCCGTGCATGTGTCGTGCGCCCGGAGGTGGGGCCGTGCGCCCTGGGGGCAGCGCCGCACACCTGGGGCCCGGGGCGCCAATATGGCTTGGGCCGGCCCTGTTTCTAGTGAAAGTGGCTTGTGGAAGTGAGTGCCCATATCCTTCTGGGCCTGACTTTCCCCTCCCATTGGTCTCCCCTGCACATGTCGCTCCTTGGATTATCCAACTCCAAGTGCCCGTGGACAGGGCTGATCTCCTCCCGGCATGGCGAGGGGAAGGCCTCGCTGCCCCGTCGCTCTCGTCCTGGTAGGGTCTCGCAGTTAACACACTGGGGCCCTTGATATGGCAGCAGGATGCTCTCCTCTGTAGCCTTATCCCGCCTCTGTGAAGCGGCTCCCTTCCCCAGCCATGAGGAGCGATCCCCTCTGGGCTCTCTGCCCCTCTGACTGCCCCATCCTGCCTCTCTTGCCGGGCCAGCGAAAGGGAGGCCTTTGCTATCAGGACCTGTGGAATACACAGCTGCGTGGGGCACCTGAAAATGTGGGGACCCCTTGGTCTGAATGTCCCCCCCCCCCCACCTGTCCTTGTTCTGTGGCTCTGCTTCCTCCGGAGAGAATCTAGTCACCCGTGACAAAACCAGCCAGGCGGTGAGCAGAGCACAACCCAGGAAAGCCAGGGGAGGGGTAAAGAAGCGAAGCCATTTAACCGGCATTTGCCCACCCCAGGTCTCTGCCGTCAGCAGCTGAATGTCTTGGGGGAGGCGACGGGACTTTAGATCAATGAAATAGCTTTAAAGCAGATATCAGTGTGGTGCTGAAGGTTATGAAGTCACATCTCTCAGAGTCACTCACCCCCAGGCTGCCTCCGGGGATGGGGCATTCGCACTGCCCTGGGCTCCGTAAACCCTAAGGACGTCCCCTTTGCTCCCTTTCAGAACAACCTCGGCGAGGGAGAGCAGCTTTGTCGAGAAGATGAAGAAAACGGTGAGAGTCTTTCTGCTTTCTGAGGCTGTGGAAGGAGCCGGGTCTTCCTGTTTAGCGGGTGGGGGGAGGGCGTCCAGAACTGCCTCTCCAATTCCTGCCACACTGTTCCTGGCGCTCCGGAGAGCACGGCAGCTTCTTGTGTGAGCTCATGGACCACTCCAGCGCAAAAGGAGCAGCCGCCACTTAGCAGGAGCCGGCTCACTTCTGGCTCACGCTGGGTCTGGGACCTGCCCCTGCTGAGGCTCTGCATTTAAAGTGTATTAGGAGCCAGGCAGCCCGGCTCAGTTTTGGTTCGTGCTGGATCCGGGAGCTCAGACCCTCACCCCGAGTCAGGGGCTGCCGCCACCCCGCGCTGCTGCCTCTTTATCAGAGGCAGCAGCACAGGGCAACAAGCAGCTGGTCCTCAAGAGGAGCTGGTTTTATACTGGCTCCCCTCGTGGACCTGGCACTGTATGCTGCTGCTGGCCCCGCCCCCAGGGACTGTAGATTAGTCGACTAGCCAATAAGAATTCATGAGGTTACTTGACTATTCAATTAACTGATATTTAACATCTCTAGTGAGGGCTTGGCAAGAAGCGGCCGTGTAATGTGAGGTGGGAGTTGGGGGGGGACAGCCGTGGCTGATCGTTAGTTGGTAGCACCTGCTACGTGCTAAATGCGTCAGAATGACCCATCTGTGCCGCTCCAACCACCAAACCCATTGCCCCCCTCCGCATAATAATCACGTGCAGAAGCAGGTGTCCTGGAGGGATCTGAAAGCACCGTGCGAGCTGCCCAGGCCCTGGCATTGCATTCAAGCCCAAAGAGGCACTTTGCTCAAGTTGGTGTCAGAGACGAGGACAGAACTCTGCAATCCTGGTTCCTGGCCCTTGATAGAACCACGACAACCCCCCTCGTCCCACCCAAATTAGCAATTTGTGCGTAATGGTGCCTGTCTTTCCAGAGCCGAAACATCGTGGTGTTTTATGGCTCCCAGACTGGGACAGCAGAGGAGTTTGCCAACCGCCTCTCTAAAGATGCCCATCGTTACGGGATGCGGGGCATGGCAGCTGACCCAGAGGAGTACGACTTGGTAAGTTAAACTTCGCCCCGCACGGCATCTTTACTCCTGTCTCGAATCCCATGCCTCCTACGCACGCAGGAGCGGGGCCTTGGCCAGCTCTGAGGTGGGGCATGCTGAAGGGATTTGTAGTTAATTAAAGGGAATTGTTGTGAATTAAAAGGGAAGTGATGGAACTGTTAGCATTGCTGCTGGCAGCAATTGCTAACTCACCGTGGGCCCGGTAAGATACAGCACAGAGAGATGAGGAATGAGTCCTTAAACCATTTAGTGCTTGCAAAACCGAAGGCCTTTGGCCCTGCCACGGGCTGCTGCTTGTGGCAGGGAGGAGTGGTTGCTGCCTGCCTTCCAGGGTTGTTCCAGAAAGAGGAGTAATTGGGAAATGAGCCGGCCATTTTAGGGTCCCCCACAGTATCAGCCCTTCACTGCCCTGAGGGGACTCTGGATCGATGGCTGGGAGCCGCAGAGCATGGCTTTGGGTCTTAAGCAGCTGCTTGGCTTGGCTGTGCCGAAGGCAGGTGTGGAACAGGGCAGGAAGAAAGGTGGGAACAAGCGGGAGGCTAGCGGGCAGCCCAGAAAGAACGAGCCAGCCGTGCTCTGCCCCGAGTTCCTCTGTTAGCAACCTCAGCCCCTGAACGGAGCCCCTGAGGCCTCGGCAGGGAAGTTTGACGTGCTACTGAAGCGCAGAGAAACCAGTTGCTGCATACGGCGAGGTGAGGCAGAAGGCCCGTGTCTGAGGCCTGGCTGGTAGGGAGGCCCCCTTGCTCTGGGGTAGGAGTCCGACATGGCCTCCCTATGCCGAGATCCAGTGGGTGGGAGAAGTTCTCAGTTGGGACCAGACCTGGTGCTCAGATGTCCTTGCAGATCCTCCACCCCCTCTACCGCACAGAGAACCCCTCGGTTCTGGCAGTTCGATAGCTCACGTTTACCGTGGGAGTCTGTCACTAGGCAACCCGAGGGGTTCTGAGGTGCCCTGTCTTACAGTAAGCACTTAGTCTGACTGTCCCGTGGTGCTTTTCTCAAGAGTAAGAGCGTTAATCACAGTGGCCTGGCCACAATCCAGGGTTGGTGATGGACTTTGGCACCTTCTACCCTCCCCCTCACGATATGGTATTCCCCACTTGTGTTCCAAGCCGTTGGTTAACACTGCAAAGTGACACCAAACTACGGCCTTGGTACACACCAGAGGCAGCTGCATTTCAGTGGTGACGATGTGACCCTCCCCTACCGTGATTGCTTTGGGATCCTTGAGGATGAAAAGTGCTACATCCAGAAAGGAACTTAGTCTCTCTGGCCTTGTTTCTAGTCTGACCTGAGCCGCCTCTCTGAGATCGACAATTCCTTGGCTGTGTTCTGCATGGCCACGTACGGAGAGGGCGATCCCACGGACAATGCCCAGGATTTCTATGACTGGCTGCAGGAGACGGATGTTGACCTGACTGGTCTCAAATTTGCGGTAAGCCAACCTGCATTACTGCTTATGCCCCACGTAGGCAGGAAAGTCCCCACAGTGTAGGCGCAGATCAGACCCGACCCCGCAAGTGAATGTGCAGTCTCAGTTCCCGTGCCTTGCACACTTGTGTCAGGAGCACACACCTGCGTACTGCACATGTGTGCAAACATGGGTCTGTGTGCTTTCAAAATGGCTGCCATGGCTCCTTCCTTCCCTCTGCATCACGTGGATCATCAGGTACTTGCTGCTGCAGCCGGCGCTAGCATGCACTTGACTGAGAAGGTGGTAAGTGAGTTACAGGCCACTGTTGTGTAGCAGACTGACTGGACAGACTGGCTAACTGGACTGTTGTTGTGTAGCAGACAGTCCTAGGCTAGATAGTCTGTTGCATATTAGATCATTCCAAGAAATGCCTCATTTCTTCTCTGCGTAATACCAGAGACGGAACTGCTTTGCCTAACTCCTCTGCAGGTTTCCTGGGCTGGGTGGTACCCAGAATTGCTAAGCATGAGAGAGTTCTTTGCCTACTTCCAAATTGGGCAGTTTCCCCCCAAGTGGGGGTCTCCATGGTGCAAACGTGTCTGAGGCTGGCAATGGAGCGGAAGGGATGGTAGATTAGAGAGCTGAGTGTTGATGGGGAGGGAGAGAGATGCAGAGTCCAAGGGCTCTGTTCAGCCCCAGAATAGGCGCTGCTTCCCTCATTCTGTCCCGCTAATGCACCTGAACTAGTTGGCCTAGTGGGTAGTGCACAGGGCTGTGACTCAGGAGAACTGGTTCCGTCTCAGTCTCGACCACCAGCCCTGTGGTGAGTCACTTCCCGGCAACATGCCTCAGCCTCCCCACCCTTCAAAGTGCCACCATTGCAAAACACCTGTGAAAGCTGCTGGTGAGAAGTGCTGTGAACGAGCAAGGCGGGTTGTATGAATGTTATTGACAACAGGGAAGGAGGATACTGCTCTTTCAGGGCTGGGCCTCTTCCTTGAGGCTTCTAAAAAGCAGCCGGTGGTGATGGTCCTTTTCAGCGTGGTTCTGTCCACCAAAGACTGAACCCCCAGCTCGCTTGATAGAACACCAGGTCACGGGCCGACAGAGGCAACGTCTGGCCACTGTGGAGCTGGGCTGAATTGGAGCCGGTGACCACAAAGCGGTGTATGGTTATAGCCACAGAAAACCTACCCTCTTAGCCAGCCGGAAACCTGCCACCCCTCCCCCTCCCTCCGATGGGCTCCCCGGACCTGTGGCTAGAGACTTGCTGTGTTGAGAGCCGGTCCTCTGCGGGGGGAGGAGGGGTTGAATTAGCCCATTGGTGTTGCTGCTCCATTGACTGTCGTCCTCTCCCAGGTGTTTGGGCTGGGCAACAAGACTTATGAGCACTTCAATGCGATGGGGAAGTACGTGGACAAGAGGCTGGAGCAGCTCGGAGCCCAGCGGATCTTCGAGGTCGGGATGGGAGACGACGATGGGAAGTGAGTAGGCTTGGCCATATGGCTGGGGCAGTCGCTGGCTCGGCACAAGCCCAGCAGAGTGAACCGTCCCACGTGTGTGTGTGTGTATACAGCCGTGTGCAGTGGGACTCGCTTTCTGGGGCAGAATGTCTGCGGAACCGGAGAGCGGGCTTTATGTCCCCCCGGGGGGTGCTAGTCTGTGAGGAGACACTGAGATCGCCTGATCCCTTGTGCATCTGGAGTTTGCTTCACAGAGCCAGCGGGGTGTTGCTAAAACGTGTTAACTTGCAAGGGCGTGAACCAGCTGGACGCCTCCGTCTGTCTCTGACACACAGTTGGCCCTGCACACTTTGGATTTGCTTTTACGGGCAGAGAGGCAGCCACTGCTGTGATTAGAACCCTACGGTGGGAAGAGACCTCAGGAGTCATGGAGCTGGCCCAGAGCAGGACCAACCCCAACTCAATCATCCCAGCCAGGGCTGTGTCAAGCCGGGACTTAAACATCTCTAGGGATGGAGATTCCACCCCCTCCCTAGGGACCCCATTCCAGTGTTGCCCCAGCCTCCCAAGGAAATAGTTTTTCCTACTATCCAACCCAGATGTCCCCCACAGTAACTTGAGACCATTGCTCCTTGTTCTGCCCTCTGCCACCACTGAGAACAGCCTCTCTGCAGCCTCTTTGGAACCTCCATTCAGGCAGCTGAAGGCTGCTCTCAAATCCCCCCTCACTCTGCAGACTAAACAAGCCCAAATCCCTCAGCCGTTCCTCAAAGCTCCTGTGCTCCAGCCCCCCAATCATTTTGGTTGCCTCTGCTGGACCCTCTCCAATGCGTCCACATCCTTTCTGTGATGGGGGGCCCAGAACTGGAGGCGACACTCCAGATCATTATCGCAGCTCAGGGAAAGGTGCGTTAGCTCAGAGCCTGCCTTGTGTATTCGTGTTGGAAGTTACACCCGGTCAGTGGATCTTTCTAGGTAATGCTGCTGGCAGGTTCACCCCCAGAAGGCTCTGCTCTTAGTGGTGTCAGGAGTGGCTAGGATAGCCCAGGAGCGCAGAACGCTTGCTGCCTGTTCTTCTGAGTCAGGGGGTGTGAACTGGGGTTCACCAGGGAACGTGGCAGCAGCATTGAGGATATTGCAGGCCTGGGTCTGACTGTGAATTGGCCATCCAGGCTCCCTGGCATTCAGCACACAGTCCTCTGGCTTGGGGTCTAGAGGAGGGCAGCGAGGTGGGTGGGGGGTGAGTGCAGGGAGGAGACTTTGCCCGGGGGCCTCACTGCAGTTTGTTTCCAGAGTACCTGGCCCCCAGTCTAGGCCATGGCATTGACGCTGCTCTTGCTTCTCTTCTCCTGCCCTGAGCAGCCTGGAAGAGGACTTCATCACATGGCGTGAGCAGTTCTGGCCGGCTGTGTGCGAGCACTTCGGCGTGGAAGCCACCGGCGACGAGTCCAGGTACGGACGGGGACAGAGCAGATGCCAGCCCGGCTTTGTGCAGGAATCCCAAGTGAACAGCGGCGTTTTGCCGCCCGATCCCCAGCCAGGCCGGAGCTGGCGTTCGCTTTTCAAAGAGCAAAGACCCTCCCCGTTAAGACTTAAAACCAGAAACGTGTGACGTAGATTCCCCCTTGTAAACAAGAGGTGGGACCGGTCCACGTGTCCCTGTGTCCGGGGGAAAATGTGACTCCAGGCCTTTTTGGCTCCATTTGTTGAGTTCACTACTCCATGGCCCAATCCCCTTTATAAATCCCTGTCTTGTAAATAACCTGGCGTTGAGGCCAGCGATGCGCTGTCTCTCTGGTCTCCCTCCTGCCTCACTCTCTGGGTCATTTCCCCGGTGCTACCCTACCCCGAACAATTTATCGTGGTCTGATAAGGCCCGTAGATCACGTCCCGCTGAATACGGACCGACGGCCGCCTAGGCCTACAGCCGCTCAATGAAATCGGAAGCCCCAGTGCCCCGTGCTTGAAGGCCTAGTGCAGGGGTGGGCAAAAGGGCTCCCGGGGCTGGATCCGGCCTGCCAAGTGAGTTGATCCAGCCTGCGGAGGCCCTGCCACTCCCAGGCCAATCAGAGACTGGGGGCGGGGGGC